CCTGTAAAGTCAGATTTTGAATTAAGTTTCTACGATGAGCGCAATCTTGCTAACAAGTTTTGCGTACGACGTACGACGTACAGATTAACAAAAAACATGTTTAAAAACGCCATAGGTAGAAAACATGTTTCTGAAGTTTTCAAAATTTTGACCGATTACAATACTTTTCACCTTACACTATGTGTGCGGAAAAGTAAAATTATAAAAAATGGTAAAAATCAGATAGAATGCTTTTTAATTGAATTATGAAAGAAGAAAATCCAATTTGAAAATTGCGGTCGAAATAATTGCACAATTTTTTACTTTAATAAAATTTGATTAATTACTATTTAAATGATTATTTTTTTCAGAAACGATTTCATATCAATTGATGATATTTTGGAAATTCACAAACGTGTATTAGGTCACGTTGATCCAATTGAAGGCGGTGAATTTCGTCGAACGCAGGTTTATGTCGGTGGTCACATTCCCCCAGGTCCAAATGACCTATTAATATTAATGCAACACTTTGTTCAATGGCTTAACTCGGACCAAGCTCTATCGATGCATCCAATCAAATATGCAGCACTTGCACACTACAAATTAGTTCACATACACCCATTTACCGGTAAGAAATTGAGTCATATTTTGTTGCAAATAATACTGCATTTATTACGTAAAAGCCATTTCTTTATCCTTTAAGATGGAAATGGTCGAACATCACGCTTGCTAATGAACACAATTCTTATGCGATCCGGATATCCACCAGTTATCATACCAAAGCAACAACGGTAAGTTTACTTATTGGATTTTTGGTTATAAATAAAAATTTATTATTATTGAGTTTTCTTAAATGTCATAAAAAATCAATCTGACGCAAAATTAATTTTTTACTGCTATTTAGACATAAATATTACGATTTTCTGCAAGTGGCCAATGAAGGTGACACACGACCATTTATCAGATTTATCGCCGATTGTACAGAAAAAACATTGGATTTATTCTTGTGGGCAACAAGCGAGCTATCGCATCAAGTACCATTGCTTTCTGATCCAGATGAACATGGATCGAACATATACGATCATATATTGGATAATGACAGTGATGAATCAAGTGGCGATAATACGCCAATACCCTAAAAACGTGAAAAAAGCATATTCAAAAAAAGGAAAGAAATCTCGTGAGCAACAAATACGCACAAATCTTTTACACACTGTTGACCGGTGAATTGTAACGTTGCTCATGGCATTTTTTTTTGTAAAAGTCTGTGATTCAATCCGTGATTGCACAAAACTAATAGTAATGAAAGACGAAACGGCCATTTATTAGTTTGTGTTTTATTTTAGCATTGACATTTCTACATGGATGAACTCGTTATGATTAGTTATGAACATTCATCAAAATTTTTGATTCAAAAATGATGTTTATATTAACTTTTTTCCCAAAAATATGGAGTTTTACTCCAGTAAACTAAACAAAAACTTCTATTTCATTATATCCAGAAAATAATTGTAAAAATATTTGTCTTTATGAAATTCTGTACTTTTTTCCATTTAATTTATTTAAGTTATATATATTCTGTTTGATTGTTATATAGCATTTTGTAAATTTACTGAATTGCTGTCACTTTAATAATTTGTAAATAAACTATTCGATAACAAAAAAAAAGATTTCTATCTTCAAAATTCCAAACTCATTTTGTAAATAAATAAATTGAATAATTTTGTAAATGTATTTTTGGTTTTCATGTAATTTCATTTGAATGATTGGCCCCAAATAACAAGGTGGACTGATATATACACCAATTAGCATTGAAATTTTCTAATTTTCAGATAAATACACACACAACATTAAATTTGAATACAAATTTATTAAAATTTGTGAGAAGTTTATTTATTTATTTTTTATTTCATGTGATCCTTTTGAGCATTGAGCATTTCATATTCCATTTTGCACACATATGAATAAGCAATTATTCCTTGCTGTCATCTATATTGTTGTTTGACTTATTTGTACCGTCTTGGGATCCATCCGAATCTGGACTAACTGGACTTCGATCTCCAACCTACATTTTTTAAAATGAAAATTGAATTGAAATTATAATTAAGCATATTTTGAGAGTTTTATAGTTCTTCATTCGCAGTTGCTGATTAAAAAAAAAGTGAATTTAAGAACAATCAATTGATTATTATTATTATTACTTGTAATCCAGATTGTAGCATTTGGGTAATCTTTTCTACATCCAAATCTTGATCTAAAGCCGACACTTTTCGCAACGCCGATGACACAATACTCAAATCACCACGAAGTTCGCTCACTGCTGCAGTTATCCGCTTTGCATTCGAAAGCACATCAACGGTTTGTGTATATGGATTGTATTTTACACCAAATGGACGCTGAATATTCTCCGCATAAATTCTAAAATTGTAAATTCAAGATTATTTATGTTTCTAAATTCATTACGGGCATTAGATGACTTACCTCATTCGATCTTTGGCTTCTTCAAATGAATCAGTGTAATAGTATGCATTTTGGTATGAAGTAATGATGCATTCTTCTTGGCATGTTATTTCTGGATCAAATCGTTTAATTTTGTCAGTCGTTCCAAGAGCATGTTGAAGCTCAGCCACTGATGACAGTAATCCGGCACCATATACTTTAAATGAACCATCTATTTGACGACACAATCCAAACTCCACCGTGAAGAAGTAAAGCTATGAATTTATCAAAAAAAAAAAATGTTCAGTGTACATTTTCTGCATCTAAAAAAATGAATTATTCTTTTTTTTTTACCGTGGCCAATTTATCAATGTCACTGTCAGATGCTCCAAGCGAGGCCAAGCCGATTTCTTGTGAAAATTGTGCAAAACTGGCATTGGCCAGCAATGGCATATGGCCAAGCAATTCATGGCAACAATCTGGTTCCGGTGTGTAAAATGGATCCGAAGAATGGCGAATATATTGTGTGCAATGAAAAACACGGAATGCCAAACCAGATAGAAAATCTCTTGGCGATAAATATCCAGCAACTGGTCGTAATTGAAATCCGGTTTTTCGCTTCAAAAAATTACTCACATCCTGCAATTGTGGCAAATTATCTTCACGATAGCCACAATATTTTACCAATTGTGGCCAGTTTTCCATGTACTCAGGAACAGCATGTAACGTATATAAACGATGTAGCTCACGAAATACAACACCCCTACAATGATTACCCAGTTACATATGAAGAAAAAAAATGTGGCATGTATCGATTTGATTTCAATTTGTTGTCATGCGTTTTTGTAAAATAACACGATGGCGTCAACGGGCATGTGATTTTGCAAACACATTTTCAATGAATTGAAATGTACTTTTATTTAAATCCACTTAATTAGTCGAATGAAATGAATTTTCTGCTAGTGGCACTGGTCGTGGCACTTCCATGCAATATCTCATTGGCAATGCAAAACATTCAGTTAGGTCATTCGTATTGTATGACATCATATTGTGACATTTTATTTTAATATTTTTTTTTTTGTTTATACAGAAGTAGGACAAAAAAAAATTCTTGGAAAATATTTCAATTGAAAAAATTCAAGATATATGGATTTTTATGAAGCATCTCACTGCATTTGTATGCAAATAAAAAAAAAAAATCATATTTGTTCGGTTCTAATTGAATTAAATTCACTGCTTTCGATGATTTTTTTTGGTGGTTGAGACCTCTTTTTTGTATTAATTTGATTCATTGATGTAAAATGAAACAGCTCCGATATAAGCTACTGTATTTACAATCCATCGAAAAATTAGCAAAAGCCCAAAGTTTGCTATTCTATTATAATTAGATTTAAAATCAGTGCCACATTGTGTGTTATTAAATTTATGTGTTATGTTTGTCTCTTGATAAACATGTGTAAATATATGGAACATTGCTAGTGCATTCGATGACGTCAATTCAAAAATATAAGTGAAGTGATTATATATGTATTATGCTTACCAAGTTTTGATTTCTTCGGGCGTATATTGAATTTTTGGAATTGGATTACCGCTAAATGTGCCCGATTAAATTGAAAAAAAAAGAATATAAAATAAAAATTCGTCATAAAAAGTGGTAAAAACTCAACTGTTTGTAGGAATTGGCAATGGCTGCAAATTCTTCGCGTCTTTTGCGATAGACCGGATCTTTGAATCCGGGATGATCAGCATCGAGCTCAGTTCCATACATTAGCACATTTTGTACTTTGTCTAAATCAGATATTTTCCGTGGAAACCAGTAAATATCGCCAAAATCTATGAAATTCCGAAAACGATCAAGTGGTTTTAAATTGAGAGAAGAAACAAAATGAATAAAGTTACGCTCACTTGGGTCGCGCGCAAAGATTATATTCGAAATACTCACCAAATGATGAACATGCCGAAAGAGGTGTTGGCGGCGGAAATTCATCACTGACCTGAGGTGAAGCAAAATTCACTGAACTAACCTCTCGTTTCAGTAAACGAATTACTTTCTCTAAATGCTTTGGGTCACACTCAATATCCACAAATACTTCCGCCTAAATTTAAGCGAATCAATTTATTTCATCTTATTATACGAATGATGGTACGAATAATGGTTCTCACAGAATTAGTTTGATATTTTGTTCACTTTTCATTTGGATATTAATTTGATGTACCTGATCAACATCCGATCTTGTGTTTTGCAACTCCAAATGCAGTACATTGATGCCAAGTTCTTGAAAGACTTGTAGCGCTCGTGCCAGGCCACCAACTTGATTATTCAACGTGAAAATAATGGAGGTTTTGTCAACGGGTGATATGTTGTCTTGTCGTTTTAATCTCTCGTTTGGAACCGATGATGTCTAATCGATATGATTTCAAAATTTTTTTATATTTTCACAGTTGAAATTTATCTTATTTAGTTTGAAATAGTGCCAATTTTTAGAGAGAATCAAATGAATTTCAAAACTTTGGCAGGTTTTCTGCTTCGGCAACACAACTGATATTTAACTCTGTTTAATAAATTATTTACCACTAAGTCATCTTGATTATGCAGAGGACTTCCTTCTTTGACTGCCCACTCTTGTTCACCACTTCTATACAACCACAAACCCAACAATCCTTTGCCAGAGCCACTCATTTTTTCACGTTTATAAAGTCTTTCACAATCAAAATTTCAAACCATTTGCTATATTCAAACAACCAAAAAAACTTCTTCGTTTGCTAGTAACAGTCAATATCAATTGTCTTCACTTTTTATTTTTTTCAGTCACAGGATTAGTTTTCTTCAAGTGGTATCCCTAGTGCATGTTAAATATTTACCCTTTTACTTATTCATGTGAATCGTTTCTGTGATTTTTTTTTTATTTATATACGGCAATAGAAACTTAAAAGCTGAAATGAGTACTTCTTAACACTTTATTCAAGTTGTGATTTTCTTCAACCTCAATGAAAATAGAAAATCCCAGGGTCGAATTTTCGTATTGTGAACAGTAGTATAACGGCCAATCTTCGCAAAAACTCAAATATTTTTTCGTAAGAAAATCTGAGCAACTATGGGAAATGGGAAATATACAGGGATGGTTCAAAGGAGTATGTGTACAATTTAATGTATAAGATCGATCTGAAAATATTGAAAAATGATTGACTAAAATCGAATGGTAATCGATCATAATCGATTCAATGGAATTTTTGGATAGAATTATTTTGAAACATTTTTTCACTACAAATTCAGTTAATTTCAAATGACTTAAATCACAATTTTCGTGCTCGACAATCAAAGTTATCCGACCAATATTTCATGAAAATGGTCGAGAGAATACTAGTTTGAATATTCTCTGATAAAATTCAAAACTATTCCTATAATGCGTTCAATTTTCTTCATTAATTTTCAACTCTCATATTTGGTGGATTTTTTGATGATTACACCAATTATTTTTTTCACTGTACAAACTTCTTTTTAACTTTTTGTGCAACTTAAAAAAAAAAACGTGAACTACAACAGATTTAAAGCATCCGGATTTCTTTTTGCAAGAAACGAAAATTGTGTTCTATGTTTTTTTTTTCATTTAATTTGATGAAAAGTTTATTGAAAAATAAATAAAATATAAATCCAAGAGATCAAGAAATAAAACACTCTTTCTCACCTCGAAAAATCGGTTTGAAATGATTGTGACGAATTGTGAGGAAATGTGTGCATTAAATGTTGGTTTGAATCGTTACAAAGCTGAAAATAAACTGTAACAAATTCATTGTAAAGATGCACCTTTTATAGAGATTGGTGTGATTTGAAATTGTAAATGGTAACCGATTTTCCATAAAGCGAAGAAACTATACGGGTATTCGAATCGACGACAGTGCCAAGTTTTGTTGGATGAGATGGTAGAAAACGCGCGCATCCAACCACTGTGCACTCAACGAATTGAATTAAATGAGATCTTGTATAAAATGTGTCTGATTGGCTGAATCAAATAAAATCAGGACAAAACTTTGTATCTTTTCTGTCGTCGTCATCGTTGCTTGTTGATGATTCAGTGTTTTGTTTCTTTTTCACCCTTCGTATTCCACGATATTTTCATATACGCATTGTTTTTTTTTCGGTTTTACTTTCTATTTTCGTAATAGGAAATACATCATTTGAAGAATTCAACAAGTGCCTTCTCAAATTCACCCGATTCTTTGCCACCATGAAAACGAATCAAATACACACACACGCACAATTATTTTGCTTTAACTATTTTCAAAAGCACAATACAAGTTAAATTGAGTCCAAAAACGCCATTCGCACATCATTTATGGTTCGAATTTTATGGATAAATCGGTGGAAATGGAATGAAATCGTATCACACCAAATGCCACGGATAAAACCGAGCAGACCATAATGTTTTAAGAGAAAATAGATGAAAGAGTGTTCAAGATGGATGTGCCTTAAATCGATGTATGTTGTGATAATGAGTTTCGATGGTGTATATTATTAGTACCTCTTAAATTGATTGAATGGCATACATTTGGTGAGGAGTTTCGTTTTAAGGGATTGATATGACCAGCGAAGAGCATCATTTACTACTTACATACTCAAGTCAAGACTCCATGCGTTATCGGTCGCATTTGGATTTATACATCGTTACAACATTCAATTTATGTTTCGTTTTATCATCATTGAAATCAGTATGTTTCACGTGCTCGCATATTTTTTGTTGCTTTTGACTTGCCAACTTATTTGCCCACATCATTTTTACACTATGTGAGTCTCTCTCTCTCTCTCTCTCTCTCTCTCTCTCTCTCTCTCTCTCTCTCTC